TAGTGGATTAGAGATTAACAAAATATTGTTAACCATTATAATGTAATGGCGAGGATCACAATGATGATAATGATAATGGAAATTATGGTGTTTAACATATTGCTATCATCATTAGTGCCATCATAATTATCCTCTACACTATTGTCTTTTTATTTTATTATTATAATTACTGATAGTATTTTCGTCATCGTTATTGTTACTTTTCTCCTTTTATTATATATATTGAGTCATCCTTCATAATCATAATTGAAATCATACCTATAATTTCGAACGCGATATCATACCTGTGACTGTCATATCATTGGTATCATGTCATTATGCAACTGCAGCAGTCATATCCATCTTTTCATGCGCAATCTGATGGACCCAGGAAGGTTTACCGCATGTATTGCTGTGTCAGTACGATTGAGTATTAATATATGTCTTAATAATGATTCAATAAAAAGGCGTGTTGGAAGTAATAGCATAGTAGATATTTATATATACGTCATTCCTCGAAACATTAACTGTATATATTCAAAAAGGTTAACCTCTGTGGTTTGGTAACAGTTATTTACCCAAAAAATACCGGTAATTACAATTTCTATGACCACAAAAAATCCTCAAATCGGCGATCTCAAAATACGGAACACAGTGAAAATCAATGTACATTTAATAAATTTACATTTCCAGTGTAAAAAATACACGGACACCTGGAAATAATGGGTAATTAGCAACTCTCCCGGGCAAACCCGCTCGAAAGTAGCGGAATAGAAGTTACCGACGACTGGCAACACTGGAGCGGGGAGCGCAGTGTTGCTTCAACCATTAGCGAGAACGGGTGTGCGCGGCATTATTTCCCGCTGACACCCTGAAAAGTGTGCTACATCAGTTGCTTTATATTGAGTTGTGTGATAGTGTTGGTAGTCATGTCACCCGTCCGCTGCGTCGGGTGAAGGACTGACACATTAAGAGTGTTGGGTGTGCGTGATGTAGCTGTGCCCTGACTGCCTAGTGTGAATTGCAGGGTTGTCTGTCTAAGGAAGAACATCTCGTCAAAGATTTCCCATCACCTTATTCATCATCATCACCAGCTGGTCACTCTCTCGTTTTTCACTCGTGGGGAAGAGCGGCTGAAAGGGAGGAGACGAACGCATATTTTTTTATCCCAAACTCGTAACATGCGAGAGCGAAGTTAAACTTTTAGAGGGAGGAAGATCAAAAGTTCTAATACGCTTCGCATGTGTATTAAAGGAAGACTCATTTTTAACAGCAAAATGGGAACAGATATTGGTAATTTTTAAACCTAATATACATTTTAACACCAGTCAAAGCAGACAAACATTCAAACAGGTTTAAGGGAAAAGTTGAGGCAGGTCACGAGAGCTGCCATGGCAGGCCTGTTCCTGCGCCTCCTCCTCCTGTAGGTGAACTCGGGTGAAATCTCGATGTTAAATGTGTTACCTACGGCCGGCGCAGTGTGGTAATATGACGAGACAGGTGGCCTTGCGCAAGTATTTCGCATACCCGTTCGCAAGAAGGCCAACTAACAGGTAGAGAGAAATAGATATTGCCTCTTGAAGCATGACAGTTATGGAATGATCAGAAAACACATATGTTAATTATTATGCATATGAAAGAAGTTCGTAAAACTAGTGCATGGATAATCAGGGCTGCAACCTGACTCTCTTGAGGCACTTAATGACGTCAGCAAGTTCTGATAGGCAGGCACATCGTCATTTGAGGTAGCCATAAACACGTGCTATAGGCCTTTATTGAATCATTAGAATTGATTATAATCATTACGGTTTTGTCGGGCACTTTTCTCAGATGATGTGTAAAACGCTTTGTTCGTTACAGTTCTAAAAGCAGCATTTCTAAATCACTCAGTTGCTAACCGTTACAGTAGTAACAACTATATTGGTGCATGCACAGCTAGCATTTTCTTTGAGATGAAGTTTTTAAGTTACTGAGGCATTAATGTTAAGAGAACTTTCATCTGCAGCTTGTTCGACAGATGTGTATGCATTTAATTGTAAGCCGAGGTTGTTGTTCTTGCAGACATGCAGTTCGTTTGTTTTAGGGTAGAACTTCGGAAACGAAAGGTACGCAGGCTAAATTAGCTTTTACTTAGAATACCAGAGAGTATAGGTTAGGTAGTCTGTTGCAATGAGTTAAAAGAGGGGTGCTGCTGCAGCTAGACTAGTGACCAGCTGGTGATAATCCCCTAGGTGAGTGTAGCGTGGTGAGACTGGACATGTCACACTGGTGATTCACACTGGGGTCTCCGTGTCACGATGTCCCGGTGCTGAGAGTGCCAGGGCCACCGGCAGTGCGTGGCCCCCTGCTCTATCTCAAGCGTGAGTGAGTGTGCGTGAGAGTGAAATCAGACTGTACCTCTGCACCACCACACTATCGCCATCATGGGGCCGGAACACCTAGGATCTGCCTTCCTTCATATGGGGGACATCGTCTCCCTGTATGCTGAGGGCAGCGTGTCGGGATTTATCAGCACACTCGG